ATCCTTAGTTCTCATAAGGTAGACATAGGTGTACCTAGAAAAGTCATCTATAAATGTTATGAAGTATCTCTTACCTCCTCTAATTAATACACCATTGAGTTCACAGATGTCAAAATGAATTAGTTCTAAAAGTTGAGAATTTCTCTCAACGCTAGGGAAATGTTTCTTAGCCATTTTAGATTTTATACATATCTCACATTTTTCAGTTGATTCATTACTGTAAGAAATTATACCAAGTTTGCTCATGTTCTTTATGGATTTAAAATTCAAGTGTGTTAATCTATCATGCCATAAAGAGAAAGAATAAAAAATATAAGTAGAAATTTTTCTTTCATTAATACTTAATTTGAACATATCATTACAACCATATCCCTTTCCAACAAACATCCCATTCTTGGATATGATTAATTTGTCGGATTCAAAGACAACTTTGAATTCCCTCTTACAGACAAAAATTACTGAGATCAAGTTCTTTCTAATGCCAGGAACATGGAGAACATTCAGGAGAGTCAATGTCTTTCCGGAGATGAAGTTCAACTCTACGTTGCTTCTTCCAGCAACTTTGGCACATGTTTGGTTTCCCAACTGTACCAACTGGCCATCAGTCATTTCTTCATATGTCTTGAATAAGGACTTGTCCTTGCAAACATGGATTGTGGCACCTGAATCAAACCACCATCCAGAAGACGATTCTGCCATGTTGACTTCAATAATCATGGCCACTAGATTGTCTTCTACCATGTTTGCAGACTTGGTTCCGCCTTTCCGATGTCGGCGGACTCAGGCATAATGCCCATTCTTTCCACAAACATAGCAGGATCATTTCTTATTGTTGCTCTTCTTGAAGTTCTTATCCTTCTTCTTTACTTGTAATGCAAGGTTAGTCTTCTTCGATCCGTTTTCCACAAAATTGGCCTTAGAATTCAGCATACTGGTCAGGGTCTTATCCTTACTGTCTCTAATTCGATACTCTTCTTCAATATTAAGGTGTTGCTAAATTTGCTCCAAGGTAAGTTCTTCAGCCTTGTGCAAAAGCTTCTTCCTGTAATTCTTCCAAGAGGGTGGAAGTTTGGCAATGATTGCTCCCACTTGGAAAGATTTAGGAATGATCAAGGGATCGAATTTTGTTGACTATCACCTGTAGTTCATGAACTTGCTCCAGTATGGGTTTATGGTCATTCATGGTGAAATCAAAGTATTCTGCAATAAGATACTTTATTCATACCTGCTTCTTGCACCTTGTATTTGAATTCCAGGGCCTTCCAGATTTCTTTTGGAGATGTATGTTCCTTGTAGAAGTTGTAGAGCCAGTCTGATAAGGAATTTAGTATGTGTCATCGGCACAGAAGTGAGTTCTCTTCTCATTTTGCTCTTTCATTCTTTAATTTTTCTAAGTCTTTGTCAGTGGATTCAGGAAGTGATTGCAGATTTGGGTCCAGCAGATAGTATAGTTTTAGTGTGGTCATAAAGAAGATCATCTTGTCTTGCCATCGGCTGAAGTTTGCTCCATCAAACTGGTCCAGTCGAACAAGATCTTGGTTCATCATCTTGATCGAAGTCATGCTTGCTTCCGCCTCCATTGCAAAATAACGTTCTAAAATTGTTGGGAAATGGGGTCACTGTAACTTTGGAGGAGAAGCTCTGAGGCGCGTCTGAAGACATTGTCTTTAGAACGTTATTTGCCCCCACTCAGTTTCACTGAGTTTGTTGTTGGGTTACAGGCAAATCCGTTCCCATGATACAACAGAGCCTTGGGCGAGAATCTGCAACCAGCAAAGTTGAAGAATCTCCGAAGAAACCTTCTGTGAGACTGTAGCAGACCGGACTGAGAGAGAGAGAAAGAAAAAGAGAAAGTGGATTTTGAAAATGTGTGTTTTTGAAGTCTGATTCATGCTCCTTAAATAGTTTATGAAGAGGTATGAAGAAAAGGCAGGTGCTGATTTAGAGAAGACACCTTGAACAGTCACAATTTCAAACATTGTGACTGTTTAAAAAATAGTTAACAGTTAATGACTGTTAACTTTGAATTGTGCCTCTTGATCACACCCGATCGAATCGTGACCGTGGTCAGCATTGCACCAAAAACCAAAGCCGCCCTTCGCGAGCCATGCGGGTGCGAGCAAAGTACGCCTCTAAAGCACCTCATTGCGCCACACACACGTGCGCGCGCGTTCCGCGGTATCAAACCCCCACTCTCCTCTACTATTTCTAAGGAGTATAAATCAACTCCTATTAAAATACTGAAAACAAAGCTTATAATTTTCCAATGTGGGACAAGTTCAAAACTGGGTTTTGTAAGAGAAAAACTAATTTTTCATTCAAGTGTGCAGGTGCAGTTTCTCATGTAATTGACCAATCAAACCCATTGGATTTAATCTCTTATGAGATTAAAATCCAACAAGGGGGGAGTATTATCATTCACGTAGCATGCATGCGCCATGCACGCATCAACTAGAGTCTGAATAGGACTCTCCCACTATTGTAACTAGAGTCCAAGTAGGACTCTCCCTCTGTTGTAACTGATGCATCTCTATCCCTTTTCCCTCTCTGTATCTCTTATCTCTATTTCTACTCTTCTCTATCTTGTATGACAGCTCTTGTATTTATTTTCTTTCCCTCCTGTACAGAATTCACAACAAGAATTATTCTTTTGTTTCACCTTTCTTCCTGCTAGAGTTTCTCTAATGCCATACAATGTTTTAATCCGAAATAAATTTCTCTATTCCGCTCTCAAATTTTATTCCGAAATTACCCAATTTTCTTGCTTTACAACTCACCAAAATAAAATTTCAGGGTTTTTTTTATGTTCTATACATGTCTTCCTACAAATGAGCTTGAATATCCATGCATCAGGCTCAATTTTTCTTTGGGTCATTTTAGCCTTGGTTCAATGGAAAAAAAAAATCTAAGAACATACATGGAGAGCTTCAGTTATCTAACATACCTAGCAATGAAAAAAAAAAACAAAACTTAAAAACAATCATTAGTAGTGCATCAAAATTGCACGATGGGGTAAAGCCCTGTTTTCACGATGGGGCGGACACTGTTTTGGATGCCAATGGGATTTAATGATGTCATTGCTCACTATGTCCATCAAAACTAACCCACATAGGTCAGGAAGAATTACCTAGGATAGTGCAAAAATGCAGTGCTCTACCTTGTCTGTAGAATGCCATGAAAACAGGGAAGAGGGAGGTGCTTCGTGGTGAGTTGCTCTGCCCTGTTTTTTCGTCCAAAATGTGAGGGACAATGGGAATGAGAATTAAAAAAAGAATGAGGAAGAGGAGTAGAGAGAGACAACGTTATACCTATTTTGCCTCTTCTCTATAGAATGTGAGAAAATTGGGATCAGCCTCTTCTATTGGTTCTTTGTAGAATGCCATGAAAAGAGGGAAGGAGTATGTGATGAAAAGAGAGAGGTGTGTGAACGGTTAGGAACTTAGAATATAGTTCGATAAGGATGTGTGAATGGTTAATTTCCTATTATATCACAATTCACAATTGTGACAGATTTTCTTTTTGTTTCTTTGGGGCCAAAAAAGGGAGATTGTCATGCTGAATGGCAACTTCAAAAGCTTGGAAAGGGAATAATGCACCCCTTGAATTGCAAGGTTGGGGTAATGGAGAATAGAGACCATTTGACGTGGCCAGTCCTATTTTAATATATAGTATTATAGTAATAGATTTTGAAAGCTTTTGCTAGTTTTGATGATTTATCTTTCCATTATTTACATAGGTTGTGCTTTCTCACACATTGGCTACAATATAAGGGAGGGGAGTTCACCATATTTAGTTTTGCTTACTCCTCCCAATGAACTCGTCGACTTCTTTAGTAATTAATATTTGATTTCAGCAAAAAAAAAGGGATACATAAATTAGAAATATTAAAGGGATTAACAAAGACCTTTTGCATTGTAATCAACAAGAGGGTGTTTAGGACTTTGGGTTATGGTCATTGTGGTGTTGCAATGTTTTTAGGTTTTGATTGATTAGGGGTTCAACTATGATGCGAGAAAAACATGACCAAAAATACTCCGCCAACCAACCGGGATCATAACAAGGAAACTAACCAATTGGGTGGGTTTTCAATCTTAACGACCAGGAGGGGGTGTTTGGTATTGCCATTATGTAATGAACTTATGATGTTTGATGTTTCATTTCTATTTAAGTATTACAAATGTAAAAAAGAAACAGGTTCAATGATAATGTATAATGTTATATTTGTTTATTATTGTTTAATACATAAGCACCACTAGACACCCGAAATGCCCCCCATAAGACGATGGTGTTTCTTAGATCTCGTTCATTTTCTAGGAAGCAGAGGCGAATAAGTTAGTGAGTCCCATAGAAAATAACAAACATGCATTCGTATTTTGGTATTAGGTCATGCTGATTAAGTGATTTACCCATCTTTGGCACAACTTTATCTGTATAAAAGAAAAATTTTCGAGCAATTCATTTATCTAAACAAGTAATACAATACCCTCCTAAGACTTAGATAATCACTTCCAAAAATATATACAAAAAATCGTTATACGTAATAGAACAAATGACCATTTTTGGATAAAATGGTCATTTGTACAACTTTACCTTACCTGGTAAATAAAAGAAAACTGCTAAGTACACTTACTTGGGTTATATTTACCCAGGTAAGTGACTTTCCGAGACATGAACGAGGCCTTGAAAATAACATTTTCACATTACCTGAAATAGCACAATACGAACAGTTGTACTCAAACCAGCCAACCAAACAGAAATATGTTTTGGTGAAATCATAGTGCATGTGGCACTTAAATGGGAATGAAGTGGCTCTGCAACACCAAGACAACAAATACCTTAAGGCATTGTCGTCTTGATCTTGATGGCAAGAATTGAAGCATCTCCCATTTCCTATTCTCCTACAGACTGATGAATACAACCGTCCAGCCTTCTCCAGGAAGCGGTTTGGCCTTGGCTAATGGCAAGAAAATCCACATCTATTCATAAATTAACCAGTAACCTATAATAAGATGGACGTTCTGCTAACAGCTTTAAACGCATACAGGCATATGAATATGATTAACAAGCTTGCATCCTATGACTAGTTTTGTATAGCTTACTAACAATGAAATAAAACGGAGAATCATTACAGGGCTCAATGTTATGCTTCTGGCACCTACGGGATTCAAAACAAACAGAACTAAATAGTAAAAACAAACTCGGTTTCTTTTGACAATATTTTTAGAAGCATCGCCTTGCAAAATTTTTCTTTTCTCCGGACTGGTGAGAACAAAAAGATTTCACCAGTATGCTCTCTCAAGATCCTCAACTCAGAACAACCAAAATCTTTTAAAAACATACCTAGAAAAGATAATGAAACTTCTAGATTTGCTCAGAACAGGCAAGGATAACATCCAAGCAACTGCAAAACCACCATAGTCCAACTTCTCACCCCTCTCGAGCAGCTTGAGTGTGTGCAGCTTCAAGAACCTGATTTGCCAATTTGTATGTACGCATGGAGAGTGCCTTCGTGTTCTCTATGATTTGTTCATACCTGAAAGACAATGAGTGGCAAGAAAGTGGGTTTTTAAAGTACAATATTGGTGGAATTCTCACATCTAACAAATTTCAACTTACACATTTAAATGGTTGGGTTCCATAACAACAGTTCCTGACTTGGAATTAATCTTAGCATCAAGCTTTGCATTACGAATAAGATTCACAATCCATCTCTCAGCCTCGTCATAGTTTAAATTCAACTTCTCAGCAAGCATCCTGTAAAAAGCAGGAGACATTACATCAAGCTTTCTAGCAAACTTCAGTTCAACCAAGATCTACAAGAGATCATGGAGATTAAAGCATGCATTTCACATTTGGTACAAAATAGTCACAGAAACAATATACACATTCGAGGGCACCTTATGACTTTGAGTGGACATGGATTCTAGTATGCTTTTTTATTTGTCTTGTATTCTCAGCACATATGTGCACTGGTTCAGTTTTGCAGGTGTTAGGTAAAAATGTATGTGTATTCATAATGACAGAAAACATGGATTCCGAGACATGTTTGCATTCAAATCAGAGATAAAGTTTTCATCTGCACTCAAGTTGATCAATGTAAAAAAGATGGGTTCCAGTCTTAGGATTCATGTACATGTACTATCGCCAAGTATGCAGTTTTCTGAACCAGACATTGACCCAATCATTTTTTTCATTTGTACTCTTCCTTCCCTCCCTCCCNCCCCCCCCTCTCTCTCTCTCTCTCAACTAAACCTATTTGGATAGACTTCTACAGTACTTTTGTACATAAAATACTTTACTTTGGTATATTTGCTTTGAAACGTTTGGGTAAAAAATTTTCAGAAGTATGCTTTCCAAAACAGAAATACCATTTTCTGTTCCTCACAAGCACACCCCATTCGTACTTCTGGTGACAGTTTCCAGTGGTTATGCAGTTTGAGACCGGCAACGGCGGTCCAACTCTAGCAGTGACGAGTAGAGGTAGGGTTAAGAATTTTAACGAAGGGTGGTCGCATGTAACCCACCATTCACACAAAACGAAAGCACTATTTCACCAAAAGCACGAAGTATGAAAAGCCGAATTCATGCTTTTGGTGTTTTTCATACTTTCAAAAAGTATGAAAGCAAAAGTAAAAAGTATATGAAACAAACACTATATCGTGTTTTCAAAAAAACTAAAAAAATGCATAAAAACACAATAAATGGTAAAAAATATATATTTCATATAAAACAACAGAAATTGCAGAAAGTACAGGAAATTGCAAGAAAATTCAGAAAAATAAAAATATTGCAGAAAATTACAGAAAGAAAAAACTAAAATTTACAGATGTTTTTGCAAAACAAATTATAGAAAATACAGAAACTACAGAAATTTGAAGAAAAATGCAGTAACTTGAATATTATGTCATATTACATTTTTACATATAATATAGATATTTTATCTGTCAAAAAACATAAATTTATCTGTCAAAAAACATAAATTGATAGAAAATTTCAAAAAATTTATATTTCAGTTATTCAGTAAGCATAAAACATAAGTAAAATTTGAAGAAAATATATAAAACAATAGAAATTGATATTATATATATATATATATATATATATATATATATATATTCGAGGCAAATAAAAACAAAAATTATAGAAAAAAATGTTTTTCAGAAAAATAAGAAGCCAATTATATATTTTAGAAAAAAATGAATAAACCAAAAAATTATAAAAATCATCAAAACGATAAAAACAGTTTCAATTTTTTTCCAAACTAAAATCTCGATCAAGTGAAGGAGAGGGAGAGAGAGATTCTAATGATTTTCCAGAAGAAAAATTGGATAAACGGTCTACATTCTGGATCAAGCACAAGAGAGCCCCTGTATTTTTAGAAACCAAAGAAGAAAAAGAAGAGAGAGGCTACCCTGAGCCCCTTTTCCCATGGAAGAAGACAAACGTTGTAGACAAACCTTTGAAGTTGAAACCCTAACTAGAACGAAGAAGAAGAAGAAATCAAATGTCGTAGACAAACCTTTGAAGTTCAAACCTTAACTAGAACAATGGAGAGGCTACCCTCACTAGAACGGCAGAAAGGAAGGAGTAGAGAACCTCCAAGTCTGTGAATGGCAAAAGGGAATCCTTTGAACCCAAAAATGGTTATCCTCTCTACGACCAAACCCCACCCTGAACCTTTTCCCCTGACTCTAATGGGTCACTCAACCCATATTAACCCACCAATAGAATGGGTGGCCATGGATGGCCATGGTGGCCTTCAAGTGGGTGGATTGGGTAGGTCAGATGGGTTGGGGTCAGAATTGCCAGCCGTAACTGAAGTCATCACCCTTGTTATAGGATGCAGCACAGCCAAGCAAATCTAGAAACACCTGGAAGAATATTTTCTGGCTGCTAGAGAGAGACAAAGAGATGCCTCTCAAAGATAAGTTTAGAACTCTTCAAAAGGCTCCYTGTCACTTGAGTATACGAGTAAGTTCAAGAATTTGTGTGACAGTCTTGATGCTATTCAACAACCTGTTCCTGAACAAGAAAAGTTTTCAGTGGTTTTTTTATCAGCAGAAAAAGTTTGTCAATGTTACTCGAGAACCAAGTATAACATGTTTTTTTTTAATGATTTTTTTCTTTTATGTTTTGATTCTCTAACAATGTTTGACCTGTATCTGTCCACAGACCCCACACAGTAGGTCTCTTACTGTGCAGTCATCGAAAGTCATAGAATCAATCTAGGAGAATAAACTATGGCAGCATCCACATTTAGGAGAACCAAGTATAACATGTTGGACATTGCAATGTTTAAAAGGTTTTTTTTTTTTTTTGAATGTTTAAAAGTTGAGCAGTTGAAGATACAGGAGGAAGAATGTAGCAAGCTCATGAACCATGAAAATGTCTTCTTTATTTAAAGAAGACAAGGAGGAGATCGTAGCAACAGTAATGGAGGGACAAGGTAGAGGTCAAACTTATAATTCTCAAGGAAAGGGTTTCATACCAACATCTAACTACAACAACAGGGAAGTCATGGTATATGTGGCTAGTTTACTCGCACAACTTTAAGTGCTGGTACAGATTTGATGATGCCCGTCAAAGTGAGGAATGAAGATCTTCCTTGACTTTTCACTACTGTAAATGCTAATGATTACAGTGATACCACTTCCTATGCTAACACTGGTGCCACTTCACATATGACCCCAGAACTAGGTATTTTTGTCTAATATTAAATCATATCATGGTCACTCTACTATTTATGTTGAAAATGGGTCTGCCCTTCCTATCGCTCATAATGGTAATGCTATTATTGGTACAATAGAATTTGCATGGTGTTCAGATGGTTCCAGAGCCAAAGAAAAATCTTTTATTTGTTTCTCAATTTACAAGAAACAACTTCTGGTCATCTGAATTTCTGCCTCATGGTTTTGTGATCAAGGATTTTCATACCAACAAGGTAGTGGCCACAGGAAAGGTGTGGACAACAATATGCACTAGATGCAAGAATCATGCAAACTCTTTCAGCTATCAAATCCGTGAATGCTATTGATACTATTTGTCTGCCGATGGGTTGGCAGACAAACTAGCAAAACAAGGGGTATCAAGGGATCAATGGCACTGGGGAAAAATTAGTTAAGTTTTTCTTCTTTTTCAGAGGTTAGCGGAGGCTGGCCTCCTTAGTTGGGTTTTTACTGTCATGATGAACTTATAGTTCACTTTATAATTAGAAAAATTCAGTGCTATTACTCATCAAAAAAGATAAAGATTTTCTAAGAATTTCTTCTTGGATCAAGGAACCTCATGTTTGTGTTAGTTGTCAGATGGTAAAGAGTAGTAATATTTATGGATGATTTTACTCAGTTTACTTGGTTTTTCCCACGCAAACACAAATCAACTTCTTTTAGTATTTTCTCAAATTTCAAAGTATGATTTGAAATCAATTTGGATGGGAAACCAAAATCTTTTAGTGAATTCCAGTCAACTAAATTCATTGAATGTTTAGACAACTGCCATATTGTTCAGCATATTGTTTGTTTCAGCACACCTGAGCAAAATAGTGTTGCCAAGAGAAACATAGACATATAGTAGAGATGGGACCTCCCAAGATGATCAAATAAAGTGGTGCATGGACTAATGAATTTCCTGCAATTGATGGTTCCAATTCTAAGTAGAGATTATCTTTTGCACAATTTGGGTATAATATTTAAGAATTTTCTGAGTGAAACTCAAGGCCCTTATACTCAATTAAGAAGTGAGTACCAGTTCTAGACTTTGTTCATGTAGCCTTCTACTTCATAAATCTCCTACATTGGTTATTTCACATTAGAGAAAGTTGGAGAATAGCTTTGGCTAGGGATGAAAATGGATCGGATTGGATTTAAATCAGGTTATATACGAATCCGATCTGATATTATAAAGAGTAGATCCAATCCGATCGGATCTCGCAAACATTGATCTGAATTCGAATCCGATGAGGATGTCAAATATTCAGATCCGATCTGATTTAATTTAAAAAATAATGATATTAAATTATTAAAAGAAAATAAAATATAACGATTTAAATAAAGAAAAACAAAAAATACAAGTGTTTTTTCAACTATTTTCATCAAATATATACATGATTTTATAAAAAAATAAATAATATAGAAAATTTACATAAATTCAATATAAATAACATATTTATAAATAAATAAATAAATAGCATACATATGTGTTATATATATTTATATAAATAAATAACTAACATATATCGAATCGGATAGGAGGTGATCCAAATTCGACAAAATAGGATTGGACCAAGATCCGATCCATTGGCACCCCTAGCTTTGGCCTGAAATCAATTCCAGATCAGTCTCTTGATCTTGCACAGTTAGCTGTGAGACAACCAATCCTTGACTAAGCTAGACACCAATAATATCAAAATGACAACTTAGCATAATGGATAAACTAATCCTACAACCCCTAGCTTTATTCACATGAACATTCACACGAATGTGCGCACACCCACACACACCAGAGAGAGGGAGAAATCAAGACTCAATAGCTACTTCAATTTTAAATTTTTCAAAATTTTGGAATTTGAGATGATTTTTTTGCAATAATTTCTAATTATTTTTATTAATAATTTATATTTAATTATTTAGACTATTGGTTTTTAAATTTTTAATATTACATCTAAATTTAGAGTTGAATAAGTAGCCAACATAAATTTTTACATAAATTTTCAAAATTTTAGATGAAATAGATCTGCCCAATGTGCTCATATTTTATTAACATTTAGAACCATCAACCAAGGCTACCAAAGAAAGATTCTTCTTCCAAGTAATACATTGAGATCAAGTAGGTAACTCACTGTTGTCATGGAAAGTAAAAGCTATACCAATGAGAAGAGCAAGGGAGAATCTTGCCACAGATGCACTCATCAAAAAAAAATGTCTAGCCACAAATTCCTAAAAATAGTCTTGCATTAATAATCCTAGGAGGTTAGGGCCCTTACTGAGGCAGAGGACTGAGTTGCATTTTGGTCATTAGTTCATTCTGTTTTAAGGTTAAGTATCAGAGATCAGTTAGGTTATTGTTGCTTTACTGGAAATTTTGATATCTAATATTATATCCACAATATGTAGGGACTTGGGGTATTCAAAAGGTCTTCATATTTGTTTCTTCTAAATGTTAATAGGCCACTGCTAGTGTACAAACAACAATGAAAGTGGTATTGCTTGGGTTCTAGTAAGGCACGTCTTAAAATGTGTCTTTCCATCCATTCTACAGTGTCAAAATTTCCTGTCGGGTGTTTAAATAGAAACTGGAGGGTGATTGCAGGGTCCTCCTCCAAGAAAAAACTTTTGCATCAGCGGGATCCACCATCTACTGATTTCCTCAAGCTGAATGTTGATGGGAGCAGTGTTGGTAACCCAGGCCCTTCTGGAATAGGAGTGTTAAGAAATGAGAAGGGAGAAATCTTGGGGTTGTTCTCGGGACCAATTGGGGAAGGGAACTCTATAAGAGCTGAACTGGAGGCAGTTCTGTTTGGTCTACAAAAAGCAACGGAGTTATCAAAGGGGACTCTAAAGTGATCCTAAGCTGGTTGAGTAGAGAGGATAAGAGCCTTGGTGGTTCAGAAATGAGATCAAAAAATCAGAAGTCTGTCCAAAGATATGCAGATTCAATCTGGTAGGTTCCAAGATCGGCAAACAAGTTAGCAGATCAATTAGCGAAAAAAGGGGTTAAAGAGAACAGACTTTCTGGGCATGGTTGTAATTTAAATAGCTTTTTCTGGGTTTGTCTTTCTGTTTTTCTCCTGTCTGTTTACAAGGGTAGCCGAGGCTACTCTCCATTCTAAATTTCTTCTATATTAATAAAGTTTCTCTGCTTTTACTGATAAAATAAAGAATCCACAACTTTCAATTTAAAAACAAAAGAGAATGGTGCAGATATTAAAATACAAAGAATTCAAATGGAAAATGAGTCAGATACCATTCAAACTGGTATCCAACAAACAAGTATATATCATACAATGGAAGAACATAATTTTAAGTGTATACTTCATAATTTTATTTTTTTGAGCAAAGGTAAAGTATCATTGTATTGATGTAAAGGTCCTTTGTACAATGAGAAGCTGTAGACATCAAAACAGAAGGACCTCAAAGAAAGTTCATCCTCAAAAAATTACAATCAGAAGTATCCCCTTTAATTTCAGTAAGTATAGACAACTAACTTCTAACAAAACCTACATCCGAATTGGTGACTTCATCTGCAGTAGAGGTTTTAAGATCAAAGACCCTGCTATTCCTTTCTAACCACACCGCCCACATTATTGCTAAGGGAATGGAAGACCAGCAAATTTTTCCTTTCTTAGTCATCCCTCGGATCTGCCATCCCTCGGACTGAAGCAAAACCAAGAGATTCCCCACCTGCTGAATCTCCCAATCATTGAAGTCCCTTCTAAAGGTAGGGGCCCAGCAGAAAACATCCTCCCTTAATACAAATGTATCTGCTACCACTGCTTCTTTATCTTCAGCCGCATTGAACAGTGTAGGAAACATATCCTTCAGGGAATTCTCCCCTGTCCAGGCGTCAAACCAGAACTTAATCCTTCTCCCATTCCCAGCTTTAAATCTGACTTCCCTCTGAAGAGGTTGGAAGCTTTGCTTATCCCTTTCCATAGACTGCAGCCATAGGTTGACATGGGTGGACCACTGCCCCAACCCCTTTCATCCAGCCCATATTTTTCTGCTATGAAGTGTATACTTCATAATACCACTATCTAAAATGTATATTAAAATTCCACTATTTCCAGCCAGTTTAATAACTCATTCTAAGCAGTCTTCTGAAAATAAATGTCAAATATGTATTATATATCAAACAGTGAAATGGCATATATGCAGTGTACTAAAATCACTATCAACAATCCTACCAATAGAAAAAAGAACAAAGAGAAATGACAGAAAAATAAAGCAAATGCAAAATCTAAAGAACATGATTGAGAAACATTAGTGCAGCCAAGTCTCATTTTCCTTTATATGCATTTCATCATTATATCTCTATATCTGAGGTTCATCCTAAATCAATTATTTACATAAGCATATCACTAGAAAATGCACAATAAGACATTCCTAGCCTCAGTTGAGACGATTTAAATCAAGACGTCAAAGCTGCACTACATAAATACATCTATAACAGAAAAATAAATAACAACCAACTGAAACCAAAAGAGCCCACAGATCGAAATTGGAAGGCAACAATGATCTCATACAAAATTTAATTGCACAAGATTGAGGAAGCAAATACAGACCCCATATCAAGGCACTGATGTATTCTGCAATATGTCTCAAAGATAAAGAGACGTGCATTTTCAAGAAATTCGTCCCGCAATGGTACTGTGGAAAAATTTCCTTCTTCTACCCGTTTGCCAAGGAAGGGATCATTCAATATCACCTGCATAATAATTCAACATGCATCTGAACTTAAATCATGATGGTAACTTATCATGAAGAAATTCTGTACAATGCAAACAAATAAACAGAATATGCTGAGAACACAGTAAATGATACATGCAAGACTGAGTAGTGACTAGACCACAAGCAACCCTTAATTCATCTACACCACAGATCTCTAAAACCACACATTCTTTTTTTTTTTTTTTGAGAAAATTTAACCAAAACACATTCTCATAATATCAATTAAAAAATTCCAATCCACCAAATCATAGGCTTTCTCCAAGTCCAATTTGAACGCCACTCCCTTTCCCTTTAATCTTTTTTGAGCCTCCACACAATCATTAGAAATAAGAATTTGACCAATGATTGGCCTATCCTGGACAAAGGCCCCTTGAGACTGAAATCAGAGGGGAGATAACTTTCTTAATCCTCAAAGACAACACTTTTGCTATAATCTTGTAAATACTGGTGACTAGGCTGATGGGTTTAAAGACACCAGGCTGAATAGCATTGTTCTTCTTTGGGATCAATGCTGAAAAGGTAGAATTCATCCCCGGGCTGATTACCCCTCTTCTGTAGAATTCACTAAACACTCTGAGGAGATCTCCCTTAATTATGTCCCAACAATCTTGATAAAATGCCATTGTGAATCCATGCAGCCCTGGAGCTTTTCATCTAATCATAGAGAAAATTGCTTCCTTGATCTCATCCTCTTCAAACCTTTTCTCCAAAAATTGCCCTTGCACCTCCCCCAAAGTCTCCCAATCCAACCCTTTAGCCGACCACCTTTCACTTAGAGGCCTTCTATAAATAGACCTGAAATGCTCCGAAAAAGCCTTAGCAATCTATGTCTGCCCTATAACCTCATTTTCCCCCACCATTAGAGAATTAGTCAAGCTCTTCCTTCTCCTTCCATTTGCAATGGCATGGAAAAATTTTGTGTTACCATCCTCTTCTTTGATCCACCTCTCTCTTGATTTTTGCTTCCAACTTATTTCCTCTCTTAGCAAAGTTTCCCTAGGCTCCTTCAAAGACCACCTCAGTTCCCTATCACCCTCACCAAGAGAACCCACCACTTCCTTGCTGTCAATTACCTAAATTTTTTAAACCAATTCAGCTTTTTTCTCCTCCAATCTTCCAAACTTCTCCCTATTCCACACCACTCTCTAATTTCCTTTTTCAGCAACTGAAGCTTTTTTTAGGAATTTTTGGCCCTCCCACAATGATGTTTGTTCCAGGCTATTCCACCAAACCTTAACCTTCTTTTTGAAATCTGAATAACTGAGCCACATGTTTTCAAATCTAAAAGGGATTGGGCCTCCCTCATTGTTCCTCTGAAACAGACAAATGGGCCAGTGGTCTGAGGTGATTCTATGTAGAGTTCTCCCAGCTAGACTTGTCCAATGTTCTTCCCAATCTAGAGAAACTAGAAACTTGTCCAACTTGGACAAAATGGGGTTTTCTTGGAGGTTTGACCAAGTAAAACAAGATTGTCCCCCAATTGAAAATCTCTCAACTCGAATTCCTCAATAAAAGAATTAAACTTCCTCATGCTTGATGTAATCCTTTGCCTTCCTCCAATTGAATCACCCACAAATCTTATAACATTGAAGTCTCCCCCAATACACCAAGGCCCTTCCTATAGACCCCTAATGTCCCCTAGCTCTTCCCATGGTTAACTCCTTTCTCTATAAGAAGTTGGCTCATAGACATTTGTGAGAACCCATTCAAACCCATCTTGCAAGTTCCTTAACTTGATAGACACTGAGAATTTACCCATTAATTCTTCCATACATTGAACTGCCTCTTCTTTCCAGATTGTTATTATTCCCCCCAAAGCACCCCAAGAAGAAGCAAAACTCCAATATATATTCCTCTCTCCCCAAATGCTTCTTATCCCTTTCCTATCAACTACCTGAATTTTTTACTCTTGGATCAGCACAAAATCCGGTCTTTCCTTCCCCAACACCTCTTTAACTGCTCCCCTTTTTTTGTGGGACTCCCTAGCCCCCTTACATTCCAATTGATGATCTTCATAATCACAGCAAGAACTGAACCTAATTACTTCCCCCCCTATAATCCCCACTTTCTCCTACCTCCTCTAGCACTGAACTCCTTATCTTTTTTTGATAGATAATGATAATGAAAATTTTATTAAATAAAGAACTAAGTATTCATCATACAATTCCCCACAAAGAGGCGCGAGGTGCAGCCTCCAAACTACATCATAAAGCTTACAATTGAGCCCAAAAGAGTTGATTCCTATGTACTCCTTGTTTATATAG